ACTGAGTCAGTGTCACGTGTCACTAATAATCGAAATTGAGGTTTATAGGATTTGAATTGAATCTTCAAAAAAACGAAACAATCAAGAACATAATCAAAAACTATATTGTTGAATTTCATAACTATTTCGAGTTTTTTTTCCTGCCATAGAGAATTTCAACGATCTTATCTCGAGCTAAAGTACGACCAAACTTGGCAAAAGCGTTACACCTTCCAATCTGTCTGTCTAGGTCAACGCGGTCAACAAGCGTTGACTTCAGCCTCTTTCGTTCTTTTTTGATATCTCCCATAGCGACAGCCACCAGAGACCGTTTTGTTAACGGAAAATTTCGCCGTTACTCGAATAGTTCTCTCAATATTCTCTAGTCTATTCACGAGTCTACCATCGTTCTTCTCTCCGTTGAAATCATTGTAGTATTTTCTCGTTTCAATGCTTCGGTTAACTTTTTTATTTAAAATCTGCTAATGTAGTCAATGCTTCCATCGGAGCAGAACCAAATATTCCGGCGACCACTTTGATGACAAATCCGACAACGATCACCGGAGCTAGGAGGAACGTTGTCGCAACGATTGCTCTGCATCCTCGTATGTGTTTCAGCTTTTTATCGATTTCTTTCATCGTCGTTCTCTAGTTTAAGGATCGTCTTTGCTAGTTATTCATGACATGCCTATGTTTTTCTTATATAATCGCCAAAGAAAAAATCGGAATGGCAGTCTCTATCAGTATTTGACCCTAGTTTAAGAATCACCAACTAGGGTCAAAGCCCGAAACTCGGCCCGGCCTAACCCTTAAAAATACCGGGTTCGGACTTAAATATATAAGCCAAAAAAAAAATATGGCCTTTTAGGCTATTGAGTTTTTGGCTTTAGCCCGTTGGGTTCGGACCGGCCCGAAAAGCCCGAAAATAAAAATATAATTTATAAATTTAATTAAAAATAAGTTTTGTTTAAAGTACTTTCTAAAACTACATTGATTAAAAATTTTTTTTTACATATTTTACTTTAGCCAAGAACCCTAAATACAGTATAAATATTGAAAGAAAAAGTGGTTTTGAAAAACGCCCCTATCAAGTAGTCTCTACTTTCGTCGTCGTTAATCTATAAGAGCATATCCAATAGTTTACACCATTTTTTACACCAAAATTGTGTAACACCAAAATAGTATTGGGTTTTGCTCCAATGTATTACACCAAACTAGAATATTCTTAGTAGATTCTCTTTTACAATTCTTTAAAATTTACGAATCAACCCCACTTTTTTTTTAGTTTAAAATTTTTAAAAAAAACTAAAATTTAACATTTATTATATAAAAAAACATTGTAACATATAAAATAACAAAATATATTAAGCTTTTGTTTAATTATTATCAAACAAATTAGATTTTGGATTTAACCATCACAATTTGTATATGTTTTTCACTAATTTTAAAGTTGATTAAAATTTGAAAGACATTTTTAAAAATAAAAAAAGTTCAACACCAAAATGGTGTAAACCCATTTTCTACGCCATATTTGGTGTAAAAAATGAGTTTACACCATTTTAGTGTTGAAAATAGTGTTGGGTTGGAGAGACTTTTACACCAAAAAATATATTTGGTGTAGGATATGGTGTTGGGTTGGAGATGCCCTAAGTCACAAGTCAGTTTATTATTCTTGACATGCTTACTTATGCATAAAAATTATTCTTTAGGAATTGTGAATGATAGATATGTGAGGCGATCACATATTATATATTTTTAGAGAAGTGTGGCTTGCGTTTGTGTTTAATTGCGTTTGTGTTTAATTGATATTTTTATTCAATTAAAAAAATGTTTTGTTTTGATGATAACTAGTGTTTAAAACCATTTGTTTGTTTTTAAAGACATCAATTCAAATGGATACAGACAGAGCCGTTTAAGAGGGATGATAAGTGGTTCTATCGCATATGGTCCATGTGAAAAAAAATTAAATTCTTTAAGAAAAAGAGGTCCAATTTTTTTTTTTTAATTTTTCTTACAAAGGGTCTAAAATTTTTTATTTTGCCTAGGGCCTTACAAAAAATTAAGACGGCCTTGGATACAGAGGATAATGATGTGTACGATGGGGAATCAGTTGAGTTTAGAGAAGAAGAAACATCGCTCAAAAGAAGAAAATGAAGACGGGTGGAAAAGCTAAACCAAAAAAAACGTCGTTTTACTTCGAAAATGTGGAATCACTTTGATCTTAATGGAAAGAACACTGAGGGTCAAGAAACTACAAAATGCAAGCATTGTGCTAAGATACTTGTGGTAGAAAAAAGTCATGGAACATCAAAATGACCATCAAAATGACTATGAAACGTCATGTAGAAGGATGTAAGAAACGACCACGAAAATGGTGATGTGAGGCATTAATTTGTACACGCACTTGGTTGGATGGATTTACATTTCGTGATGCAGGTGATAATATTATTTGTAGTTACTTATTTTTAAAAATCATTACCTATAAATTCTTAGTGGAATTTTTTATATGATTTATACATGTCTAAATAAAATTTTATTTTTATTTTTATTTGTAGCTCTGGATAGTGATGAGGACTTAGAGGGCACTGAAGAAGATCNGTGTCTTGACTTTACTACCTAGACTTTTAGTATTTTGCTTATGTTATATTTCCCAAAATTATTTGCATTCATTTGGTCAAACATTTGCTTTTATTTAAATTGGATTTTGATAAACATATATCTATTTTATTTTGCAAGTCCTATTTAAATTTGGA